CCTTTCCCCTCACTCGGGCCCACCCCGAATTTCCCCTCAGTGAGGCCTATCCCCACTTTTCCCTCACTGAGGCCTACCCCCAATTTCCCCTCATTGAAGCCTACCTCCACCTTGCCCCGGTAGAACTCAATGCTGTTCAGACGTTCCTTGTAGGCCTTCACCTCACTCTGGAGCCTGTCCACACGGGTGGCCTTCTCCCGGAGGACGTCCACCTCATCCCGATAAGTCCTGGCTGCTCGGGCCTCCAAGACTAGCTCCCGGTTCTGAAGGCGAGGGACAAATAACTCAGCTGAGGGATTTTAAGGGAGGCTGGTAGGTGATACATCTTTAAGAGGAACACTTAGCATATTATCAGCCAATCACAGAGGGCTCGAGAGGTCTCCATCTCCATCTTACTGGGACCACAGGCAGCATGACATGCTGCAACAGTTTATAACCAAGTTTGCTCAGTGCTAACCGAAAGACAGCGGTGCCAACGATCACCGCAGATCCCTAACACTGTAATAAACATCGAAACCACATCACCCACATCTCATTCCTACACTGTGACAGCTCATATAAATCTTCCTGTCCTGGGAGGGATTGGTAGGGACAGTGTAGAGGGAGCTTTACTCTGTAACTAACCCTGTGCTGGCCCTGTCTTGGGAGTGTTTGATGAGAGACAGTGTAGAGGGAGTTTTACTCTGTATCTAACCCTGTGCTGGCCCTGACCTGGGAGTGTTTGATGAGGGACAGTGTAGAGGGAGCTTTACTCTGTATCTAACCCTGTGCTGTCTTTCAGGATCAAGTGGAGAATTAGCAGAATGGTTTACAGTCCGTACAGCGGAATTGTGAACGTTGTACAGAGCTGATTTAGAGTTGTGTAGAAATTGCAGGGTGAATTCTGAGGGATCGCAATTTGAATTATGTGTGAAATTGGCAAATGAGCCTTTTCAGTTGAAATATCGCTGCAAGAACGAGGGGGAGACCAGTCGGGGACAGACTCACAAATGGGTCAAAATATGGGTGCTGGTTAATGAGGTCTTTAAAATAACAACTTGAGTTTGTTTGCAGGGAGACAGAACTGAAGAACGGAGGAGTGGCTATGAATTTAGTTTGGGATTTGTAGAGTCCAGTCCTAGTCTCCACGTTATACATTAAAGAAAAGGATCTTGAAGAGAAGGTCGAAATGATCTGTTATAGCCATCAGGAAAGATTGAACGAGCTAGAGATCTTTTCTCTAGAACAGAGAAGCTGAGCTGATGGACATTATGGAAATGTAACAGGGCCCTCTGATATGATGGACACAGAGAAGATGTTTCCACTAGCAGGGAAAGACAAATCTACAAAGTCCATCAATATCAGACAGTCATTAACCAACTCTATGGGCAATCCAAGAGGAATATCCTCCCCCCGGGGTTTGGGAGGACTGTGGGTCTCACTCCCCCCAGGAAGGGGAAAGGACTCAGTGAGTTTAAGGCAGTGTGTGCATGCGGGAAACTGGATAAACACATGAGGGAGAAAGGGATAAGGGAAGAGGGTGATGGGGGGAGGTGACAAGGTGGGAGGGCTCTCGGGTGGAACAGCAAAAGCCTAGTATGGAGTGGAAGGGCCAAGTGGCCTACCGCTGCCCTGTCGATGTAGCGAGGCCCCGAACATGCCCAGAGCCTGACCATTGTACCTGTTTCTGGAGCCGTTTGCAATCCTGCTGCAGTTCGTCCAGTTCCTGTTTGCAGTCCTCCAACTCCTCACTCTTCTCCTGCCTGGGGATGCAACGCACATGGTCTCTCAGAGTCCCACACTGCAGAACCGCGCCCTCCCCCAGACTCACTCACACTCCCTCATTCCCTCACTCACTTCCTTCCTTCCTCACACTCTCCCTCCCTCCCTCCTTCCCTCACACTCTCCCTCCCTCCCTCCTTCCCTCACACTCTCCCTCCCTCCCTCCTTCCCTCACACTCTCCCTCCCTCCCTCCTTCCCTCACACTCTCCCTCCCTCCCTCCTTCCCTCACACTCTCCCTCCCTCCCTCCTTCCCTCACACTCTCCCTCCCTCCCTCCTTCCCTCACACTCTCCCTCCCTCCCTCCTTCCCTCACACTCTCCCTCCCTCCCTCCTTCCCTCACACTCTC